TAACCAGATAGTGGTTTTATGTCTCATATTAATCAGATAGTGGTTTTATGTCTCATACGAACCAGATAGTAGTTTTATGTCTCATATTAACCAGATAGTAGTTTTATGTCTCATATTAACNTAAATATTTAGTTTATAAACTATGACATTTATAAATGTATGAATCATATGGTGAAAAACTGACTTTGAAAAATAAATCTGTTATTTTTTCTTATAAAAGACTAAATAAAACAAAAATATTGGTGGTAATTTGTGTAACTTTACAAACAGCACCGCATAACAATGAGGATTTTTAAACTTTGGTGACATCTAGTGGATTTAAGAAAATACATTTTACATTTGAAAGTTCAATTTATAGATTTGAGTTTTGTTTGCGTTTCTGCTTCAGGTTCCATCGTATTTATGGGTCGAGTACTGAGCCCTGCAGAACCAGGAATTTAAGGCTCTTCATCATCATCATCATCATCTCCACATTATTGCACATTTAAACCTTTTTCACAACTGGTATTTATTTGTGGACCAAATGGAGGATCTTTGGATACTTCAGGAAGAGGGACGTTATTTTTTTGTATATATCTGTAAATAAAATTTTAATATGTTTTTACTATTTCTGCATCCTTTTCTTACTTTSTTCCATTTTTTTAAAGAACGAAGAAAACTACAAGAAAAACCAAAAGCACGGAGTCYGATCTTTAACAGAACACTTTATTTACACGGCCCTTCACAGTGTAAAATAGAAACTATTCATGGAAATACTTACAAAAAGGCCATTTTACACTGAACAGTTTGTTTTAAATAGTTCTCTAGGGTTATTTACATCTTTACAGTGTATTCAAAATACTCTTGGTAGCGGCCGCTTCACAAATAAAGACAAGTATGGCAGATTTTGGTCCCTGTCTTAGGTTGGTGGGAGGGGGATCATTTTCTGACCTGTGTGTTTGTGTATATTTGAGAACGCTGGATGAGCTTTAAGAAAAAAAAAAAAAGCTTTAAAAGTTGCAACAAATAAAGACAGATTAGTTTTTCTTTTAAATTACATTAAATAGAGATTCTCAAATTTACACAAGTGCATTTAGGTGAAGGTCAGGGGGAGTTATTGGTGGGTTTTATGGCAAGGTGTTTGTGTATTTACTCAAAATCCTCATCCATTATTTTTGCTCACTAGTTTATATGCAAACTACACTGTTTACACATTTGTTTACACTCATTATCCAGACAACTAGGTGGAACACAGTAGAGCCAAAATGGTTGACCTTTGACCTAACCCTTACAAGTTAGCKCACTAGTTGACTAGTGAATATTTTAAGCCTTCCTAACTAACTAGTTACTACTGTTGGGTTTATATTGAACAACCAATATGATGAGTTGGACACAAGTGTCACTACGTTGCAAAGAAGTGTAGTCATGAAACAGTAGATGACAATGACAGTTCACAGCAAAGATACTGAATAAATACACAAAGGGCTTGCCATATSGGTCAGGTTGTTTGGCAGCAACCAGCTGACTGGGTGAAGCTGGAAACCCAAACCTCAGGTCGTAACACGGTTTGTGCTGCAGGTCATCCACTGCAGGTGAAGTGTGTGTGTGTGTGTGTGTGTGTGTGTGTTAATTAAAGGTGGGAATTTAATGTTATTGCTGATGCATTAATGTCAGTTCCTGAGCTGTTTTTCCTCCCTGTCTTTAAACACTTATCACAAACGACGGTGCATCACTCAGGATGAATTTACGCTGCACCCATTTCCCAAAAAACACTCTGAACTTTTATTTGACCCTCTTCAGGTGTAATCAGTGGACTCTTCTCTTTTTATTCCCACAGAGGGAACTAAAAACGTACGCTTTGTCATCAAACACTTAAATTATTAATCAACAGCATTAATCATCAGTCTGCCTGTGGACTAATTTAACGCCAGAGCTGGATTAAACTCATTTTAAGATCTGAGAGGTGGAGTGCTGCGGTTGGTGGAGTGTAAAAGTCAATTCTAACAGACTCTTCCTCTGACAAATCCAAACTGAAAAAATAAGACTTACCACAGAGGGAGGGTTAGGGCGGTCAGGGGGGTGACTGAAAGAAATGAAAAGTGAGGAGAAAAGCGTTCACTCGATCCCTTTTTGACCCTGAGTTATCAGAAAACAAAGACTGAACCGTTCTACGAACACGGGGACAGAAAACAGGACTGATCAGATCCAGGCTGCCTGATCCTCTCCAGAAGGGTCTTCATGGACTCCACTTCTGTTTGTTGGATAACGACAGAACGAGAGCGGGTGGAGGCAGCTGAACAAGGACCGGCTCAGAGAGCAGCCTGGACTGGACGTTCAAACAAGCATCTGGTTGCATAGGCTCCACCTGCAGGGATCTGACACTGTTCCTGCACCAGCCAAGGTCAGCACAAACTTTTGTTACAGTGAATAAACCAACAACAGGTGATGCAGATTAACTGAATGAATCTTTGAAGCAGTGAGGACCCCAGAGCTGGAGCCACCTGGGTGTGGGGAGGGATGGTGATTCAGAGAGATTCTGAAGGGTTGTTGGGTTCTCCGTCAGCTCAGTGGGTCTCAGAGCGTGTCCACGTGGTTCATGTTCAGAGATCTGCTGTGGATTTCCTCCAGGAAGTTTTCCAGCTGCTCGATGAGAACTCGCTTCTTAAACCTCGACAGAAAAAAATAACAAAACTGTTAAAGTTTGGATTTTTTCAGGGGATTCTGATGTTATCAGTCCATGAAATGGACATTATTAGGCGTTATCAGTCCCATACAATGGCTTCAGAGGGTCCCTACTGTGKCTTCTAGGCTTCAGACTGTCCCGACAGTGCCCCCTAGTGGGTTAATATATCAATGACAATGAATGTGTTAATAACCAAAASATATTGTAATAAATTTTGTGTCCATGTCAGTCTCAAACCCTGGTCTCCCACTCTCTGGTCCAACACTCTACCCATTGCCCTTTTGGAAGGCCACAATACACAATCCTTGGATGGTGGTGTCTTTAGCACTAACCATGTCATTTGCTCTAAAGTTAACCTTAGTTGCTTTATGTCTCATATTAACCAGATAGTGGTTTTATACCTCATATTAACCAGATAGTGGTTTTATGTCTCATATTAACCAGCTGACAGTCTGAAGCCATTCTAGGGGACTGATAACGCCTAGTAACGTCCATTTCATGGATGATAACATCCGAAGCKGGRGATTTTTTACACATTCTGCAGCTGTGAAATCTATTAGCAGCAACATTTAGATGTTTTCATAAAGTGTTTATGTAATTAGATGCAGAGGTTTTAACATTTGTTTCTACCAAAACAGTACAAATCTAGAACCTGAAGGTAAAACCATTAGACTCTTTTAATCAAACCACGTGTTTCTGTTGAAACCTTAAGGACTACAGCAGAGAGAAGACAATTGCTCAGATGCAGGCTTAAGTTTTGTACCTGGCTGCCTCTTTGATGATGTTTTGGAGAAAAATGAGCCGGGTGTCCAGAGTTCCCTGGATTTGCTTCAGGAGCAGGAAAATCTTCTCATAATCTGAAAAACACAGAGTGAGTGAGGATGAGCTTCTTTAGGGTTTTACCAACTCCTCATTATAGAGCTCTAAATCTGCTATGCTTTGCCTGATTATTCATTTAAATTAAGCTTAAGAGACTGAAAGCAGACCAACAGACATACACTCAGGTATAATCGAGTTATTTACAGAAAAACAGGCAGAAACTTGTCCTATAATTGCATTTGGTCATGCCTGTAAGCATCTCATGATTCAGTGGAGGGATTTTATTGAAACTCTCAAAAACTCTAATTKTTTGAGGCATGGAYAAAAATAACTTTTATATCCAGTGATTCTTTAACATTTTTAAATCATTTAAGACTAAWAGGCCAAACGAGTTGAGTAAGAAGCGTTGGTAATTCTGCAGAAGTCATAACTGTTCTAAATGGATTTAATCCAGCCATGAAACTAGGAATGTGCGATTTGGTAAAAAAATTCATATCACGATATAAATTATGATGAGTGGCGGTAACGATATATATCACGATATAAAT